TAAAAAATAGTTTTATTTTATAGAATTAGTGATTATCAATTTGTATTATAAAAAATTAGATAAAAATATTATAAAATTATATTATTTTAATAAAATCTAACTTATAAGGTGTATAAAAATGATATTATTTATCACTCATTCAGTCAAGTTTTGAGAACTCTTGACTTAATTTTTTTTTCTTATTTTTAAAAAACTATAGTTATTCAAAAAAATTATATTATTTTAATAAAATTGTTTACACCATAAATTGCAAAATTTTAAATTAATGCCACATGTAAAATATTTTTATTGGTTGGAGGAGCTTGAGACATGTCAGATTTGGATTCTAGGCCCCATGACAAATCAGCACTTGAGTTGGTAAAAGATGAGAGGTAAAGATAATTTTTTACGGAGTAATTATCTTCTTAAGACAAAAAAGGATAATGGGGCTGAAAAATAGGAGAATATTGCAGTTAAAAAAGGGGTTTTATCTGATAAGAGTACAGGTGGCGAAATTTGCAAAGAGATTAGACCAGGTCAAGAGGTGAGCTGTTCCATTATCTCAAGAAACCACCCATGATTGAGTAACTGCAGAAAGTGGAAGTTATTGCCAGCACATGGAGAACAAAAAGGAAATTTTTAGAATGAAGAACACACGATCAGCCCTACTCAAACATCTGCAAATTTTTATACTTTCATTTTCTCTGCACATGCTTCTAGATTTCGAATTTCAGCACATATTCCAGTAGAATTATGTTGTTTTTCAACATTCCATTAGGCAAATTAATTCATGTATTCAGTTCAACAATTTCCTTTCATGCAATAAACTTCAATCTTTCAAGTTTATGCAAGGTATTGTTCTCTTTCCATTTGCAATTAATTTTATGTTTATGATAAGTAGCATTTTATTCAATGATTACTTATATGGTGTTCATATCTCTTTTCAACCTCAAGCATGGTAGTTTAATTACTGTTCACGTTAATTTTAATGCTAATTAGGATGAAGTCTTTAATTCTGCAGTATTTTAATTTTCAGATCTGTCAGTACATAGCATTTTAATTTAACAATGAACATGTTTAATTTAATTTGGGTACAGCTTTTTCTCGCAAGTTTATTTTAAATTGCAGGTAATTTAGAATAATTAGAATTTGTTAATTTTAAATCACGATAATGTTTAAGTCTTTGGAATTGTCCAAAGCAGATTTTGTAACCCATTCTGCATGAAGGTATCCCTCCCTCTTGCAAATCGTCTGAAGGCACAAATTTCATTTTAATCCATCGTTCTTCTCACTATCTACAAAGAGATCGACCGTGAAAAAGGAAAGAGTCGTTGAAAAAATCCTCTTTTTTTACTTTCAGTAAAGTAAGTGACACGCTCATATCCAGATTTCACATGTGCCATTCCATTAAAAGATTTTTGGAGAAACAAAAATAATATGAAAAAAGATTAAAAACAATTTTACTTTTACTTTAAAAATTAAAATATTTTATTAATAAAAATTTGATCAAATTAATATTTATTAATTAAAAAACTTTATTTAAGGATAAGGTTAGAAATTTAAGTATTTATATTATCAAATAACTAACTTTTTAATATATATATATATAATTAAATTATTTAATTTTTTAATAAAATTTTATTAAAATAGTGTAATTTTAAATTTTTTTTACTTAATTTTTTATAACACAGTTATACTCACTTTTCTGTTATTGCCTTTTTATCTCTAATAATATTGGGGAAACTTGAAAGTAAACTCGCTCGATTCTATGTATTATAAAGGAAAGACCATTGGTGAGAAATTCCAATGTTTTAAAAACCGGACCGGACCGGCCGGTTGAACCGGTCGGACCGGTACCCGGTATCAAAAACGGTTCGGCTCAACATTTAAAACCGGTGGAGCGG